TCCGAAGCAGCGGCAGCGAGGGAATTCGCAGAGCGTTCCCTGCGCATGCACAGGGGACGCTCTGTCACTTTTGGGGGGATTTAAGTGTCCCCCCGGCATTTTTTCCATGTTTTTAGATTTTTGTGCACACCTGGGGACTGCCCCAAGGGTGCACAAAAGTCTCCCTCCTCCCCAGGTGCCCCTGATGCGCGGATTTAGGTATCCGCACGCAGGGGCGCCTTTCGCTATTAGATATATAGATATGGAGCAGAGGTCTATCAGTGGCTATTAGCCACAAGGTATAGATAGGGACTCTGGGGCAAGTGATGCTCTGTCTTCTTGGTGCTTGGGGGGGTCAACAGTGGGAGGGCTTCTAATGTTCTGGCCCCACTGGTGGACCTCCTGATGGCACTGGTATTTCTGGCCACTGTGTGACACAGAGTGTTGGACTGGATGGGTCTTTGGCCTGATCCAACATTGGCGTCTCTTATATTCTTATGAAGGCTGAGATGAATTCACTAATGACTAAACACCAGTAGAAGGGGCCCTGGAAATAGTTTAGTAAAAAGTTCAGCTACTGTCTTAAGGGCGAGGTGGTCCATTATGTGAGTTGCTATTCACTGTCCCGTTCATAGCTGTCATGGATGGAGGCAAAATTGGAATGTGAACGTAGATTCCCACTTGGCTGTCATCAATCCACTGAGAGGGTATCAGCTCAGGAAATAGTTTTATATGTGGGCTGGCCTGTTAGATTCCAGGGGCACTGGAAGTGGGTGGTTGGGACACGTTACACTGTATGTTCAGAAGATTGGGGTGAAGGTCAGTCAGACCACTGGTATGGCCATGGCCTTGGGGGGAAGGGAGGACTGTGTCTGTATTTTTCCTGATAGCCTCTGGAATGATAGTCATTGTTCCGGTTTGCTCACCTGGATGTGCAAGCAGGAGCTGAAGGTTAGGGGAAAGGAGACCCTGAATACTGTGTGAATCCCACACCATAAAGAGAGCTTTGTGGTTAGTGAGGTTGGGGCTCTGTTGTTCCCACATGAAATTTGGAACTGTCATAAATCAATGTTCTCTCTAAGCTGTGGAGTCTTGTGAGCAAAAGTTCCACTTTGTGAGCTACTGGCATGAAAGTTGTGAGCGAGCGATTTGGCTCCTGCATAAATTAGTTTGCTCTGGAGCCCTCCCTTCCTGAGCTGAGACAAAAATGTGTGAGCTGGAGGCTAAAAATCTGTGAGCTAGCTCACACTAACTCAGCTTAGAGGGAACACTGGTCATAATGCATCTTTGGTGTCAGTCCATTTCATACTAGAACCTCCCCTGTGGCCTGCCCGTTTTCCTCTCCCCTCTCTGGGGGGAACTGCCTGGCTTTCTAAATGTAAAATCAAATTATAACTCGAGGTTTTTGTATGGCTTTTGACCTATTGTTCTTTTTTCCAGTTGGTTTTAGCTTAATCTTGCATGTTCCTTGTTGTAATTCCCCTTGTTATTTAATTAATTTTATTATTCACTATTTTTCTAGTCCTGTTTTGAAATTATGTACTAATGTATACTAATTTTAAAAAACTCATCACCCTTTATTTGCCGTGTGAGGTCTCGTGAGTTCTTGATAGGTTTGAAGAAGAAAAAATAGCAGCTTATTTTTTATCACTCCTCACATCTTACGTGCTTGCTTTGAGTCCCAACAGCTTCCCAGCCCTGGAAGCCCAGCCCACATTTGGAAAATGAGGCTGATTTAAGGCAGCCAAGAACTCAAGTAAACAACTAACGCTACCCACTGTTGGCCCACAGGGAACGTGGCGCAACCCAGCCAACTGGGCCATTTGCTGTCCCACTCTATATTCATTGTGTAATCTAGGAATGCATGTTTACAGAAGAGGGGAAAAACATGGGGAAGTTGGTCAACCTCACACCCAGCCACAACATCAGCTCTAACTGGTAGCAGATGGTAGAAGTACAGTACAGCCACGCCACTGGTTTCAGCTTCAATGTTAAGTTCCGGAGGAGGGGTTGTCAAACTTTCAGCTTATGAGGAACCCTTTTGGTACCGATTTGTTGCCAAGGAAACTCTAGAACATCTGCTACAGGAGCTGAGCCCACTGCAAAGGATTGTGGGATCTGTTCTAATACATGCATTTGTTTTGTTCTGGACAATGGCCCTGTCTGAGCTGATGGAGAACCCCCCAAACATCCTCAGCCATGGCACACGGCCAGGGGATAAAATGAGTTGCACCTTAGTTCTGTTCTCAAGGACATCTGTCTCACCATCCATGATCTAACTGAGGAAATCTTACAGTGCCCCAACTCAGAACTTACGCATATCTGTTGCTACTAAGGAAACGCCAAAGAACATGAAAGAAAACTCTACAGTCCAATTCCTTTGAGGGTAGTTTCAGAGGGTAGCCGTCAGTGTTCCCTCTAAGCTGAGTTACTGTGAGCTCGCTCACAGTTTTTTAGCCTCCGGCTCACAGATTTTTGTCTTCGCTCAGGAAGGATGGCTCCAAAGCAAACTAATTTATGCAGGAGCCAAATCATTCGTTCACGACTTTAATGCTAGTAGCTCACAAAGTAGAATTTTTGCTCACAAGACTCCACAGCTTAGAGGGAGCATTGGCAGCTGTGCTGGTCTGCAGTAGAACAGTTAGATTCAAGCCCGGCAGCACCTTGGAGACTGACAAGATTTTCAGGATATGAGCTTTCGAGAGTCAAAGCTCCCTCCCTCAGATACCTGATGAAGGTACCTGACAAAGGGAGCTTTGACTCTCTAAAGCTCATACCCTGAAAATCTTATTAGCCTCTAAGGTGCTGCTGGGCTTGAATCTAGTTGTTCTTGGTGTGGGGTCAGTGAGTCAGACTATTGGTCCATTTAGCTTAGCCCTGGGTACTGGGCCTAGCAGTTCCAAGAGCAGGGGTCATTGCCAATCCTACTACTGCAGATCCTTCCCCCTAGAGGTACTGGAGATTGAACCTGGCTGCTTCTGTGTGCTATACCACTGAGTTACAGATGATCCTTGTGAACATAAAGTAGCTCGATATCACTGGTCCATGTAAGCCAACAATGTCTACTCTGACTGACAGGCTCTGTCATGGGCAGACACAGGCACTCCCCAGCTCTGCTACCCAAAGTGTAACTAGAGAAGCCATGGACTGAACTAGAGAACCTCTGTCCCCCGAGGCAACCTGCATATTCGCAAAGGATCTTGGAAGGCTGTGTGACGACTAACATTAGTTGACTTTTTTATAGCTCACTTAACCAGTCAAATGCAATAACCCCACATAAACAGCATTTGGAGGGCAGGTATGACTTTGCAAAGCAAGCACTCTTGTGTTTTTACGAGGAGTGTGTGTAGGGTTGCCAGGTCCTACCTGTGATCTGGTGCAGGGCTCCCTGGTCTGGCCTGGGATCTTCTCTGCGCATCACCCGGAAGTGATTTCATCAGGTCACTGACATGGGGGGGGGGGGGGCGCCTCAGAACCATAATTTGCCCAAAAACTAGAGCATCACACCCCCTGATGTTGGGGACGTTGTCCAGCAATGTCCCTGTTCAGGGGTGTGGCTTCCCCAACCCGGACTAGGGGTCTGGCAACCCCAGATGTGTGCCTGGTAATCACCAAATGACATGCACTGACTATGGCACCCTAAAACTTTCATCCATATATGCATAGGTTTTCACCCTGTTTTGTTTTGAATGGATCCCCTAACCATTTTCAATTTCTAAGCAGCAGCCATAATCCCCCCCCCCCCGTCAAAATTCAACTATGTGCCACACGGGGGGTCGGTGGGTGGGTTTGACCCTTCAGTCACTGCCACTTTCCCCAACCTTAAACTAAGCTCCATTCCACCAAGCTGCCCGTTTTGGGAGGGGGGACATGCTAGTCCATCCCAGACCAATATGCCCAGCGGGGGGAGAGGGAGATGATATAGAGGCAACCCATGATTCCCCCAGGAGTGCAAAGAGCTCTGGAGTGGGCATTTGAGGTTGGAAAACCAGCCCAGGGAAATTGTTATCCCCCAGCCTTGCTGGCCGTTCTTACATAAAAAGTAGGAAATCTTAGCGCCCAGTGAAGTCTGTGAAACTGAATCCTAATTAAATTTTTGCACATAGTACGCTATTATCCTGAGGGGAAAAAAGACAAAATGACACTTCACCTTGACATTTAGACTAACCTAGATTTTGGATGTCGGTAAATTATATTGTCCAACTCCTTTAGTTATCATCCTCGAGCAGAGTTTAATCAAGAAATGTACACTTTTTAATGTTTTGATAAAACCTACATTCTGAAGAGGTTACTTTTCTGGTATCTCCCAAGCATTTCTTAAATATTAAGAAGCCTAACTGTAAGAAAATGTATACAAAGATATAGGATTCCCACACAATGAAAATCTCAGCTCTAAATGTCCACCCGCCCCACCAAAACGTTACAGGATGGGTCTTGCTCTAAGCTGGCATACTCTGAAGCAAGCCTGTGTGGGCTTACTCCCATCTAAGAGTGCACAGGGCTTGAAACATTAGTTAACCAAATGGCACAGTTGGACAGGTCTGTGATGTAGTTGAGTCCAATACCAATGCCACCTCCAAAGAAGAAATGATGGAGTGGGGGTTCAGCCAGGATACCTCTCACACTTAGTATCTGCATTTCTCGCATTACCAGCATTGCAGGCAGTAGCTGCATTGAATTAGTGAACTTCCACTTCATTCAAGTTATGCAAATACCAGCCCTTTTCGTCTGCTGTCACGACCTGTCTTCTGATGGGTAAAGGAATCCAGAGCACACATTCCCAGACCCCAAAGGGCCAGTTTCAGCATGCTGGTTCCTGGGTCCAAACTCCCAAACACAAAGCAGAGGACTTCTGAAGAAACCAGACACCAACCATGAGCAGCTGAGCATCAAGCCAACACTGTGAAAAGTGCATAAGTATGCAGTCATCTGCCTGACTGGAGTTCCTTAGGGAGTCCATTATTACAAGGCAAAAAGGTTGGACGACACTGTTCACTGGAAGACAGCTAGGTATCGCTTTCTCAGTGGTGCTCATCAAGGGCATTCGCCATTTCTCGGCTTTCTCGAGCAATCACCTGGAAAGAATAAGAACATCCCAGCTAGAGATGGGAATCACTTCTAATTAGAGCCATGACATTTAGCTGATTAATCAGTTGGATGAATGGATTCACAGCTTTCCACAACCAACCAGGCAGATATTTTCTAACTATTACTTTTAATACAAGAACTTTAAAAAGCTGTGAGAGGTGAGCACCATCTTAGAAGGGTCATTTCCCATTTTCTCATGTGTTGGAGGAAATGTCTCCAAAATTACAAGAGTATGCATGGTCTGAGAACAAGGAAGTACTGTGTTATTCATATATAAAGGTAGGCAGGTTTATTAAAGGAATCTGAAGTTTTCATCAGTGGAATAATAGACTTCTTAAGCCAAGTAGTGGTCCTACTTTAATGTCTATACCAGACACAACCATTTTTTTCCCTTCTTCCTGGGAGGGGCCATGCCTCAGTGGAACAGTACCTAATTTACAAGCAGAAGATCAATCCCATATATTTTCACTTACAGGATTCTCAAGGAATGTGTTAGGAAAGACATCTCCCTGTCTGAGCTGCTGCCAATCAGCAAAGAGACCACTGACACAGAGTAAGACAGCATCACTTATGTCCTCCTGTCCACGCTCGCCACCTAATTCACAAAACTTCAGTCACCTGCCACTCTTCCTTGCGTTTCTGGATCTCCTTCTGCAGATCTGCTATTTTATTTCGGCCAGCCAACACCACTTCAGCCAGTTTGGCATTCCCCTCTTCCTTCTCTTTCAGGGTCTTTTGGAGGATCCGGCGCTGTTTCAGAAGGTATGGCACTACAGCACTGTGGATATCTTGCTCTGGGATTCCGCTGGGGCGCCTGAAGGAGACAAGATGTAATCCACTTTGGATCCCCTATTGAGGAGAATGGCAGGGTAATAATGAATTAAATAAATAGATTACAAGAATGAGGAACTGACCCAGCAGGCATAGTTTGTTTAGTATAAAGATCACCTACCTAGTCTACTGGAATGCAAACAATCCACACATCCTAGCAGCAAGCAAAACGCCATGGTATTGTGCAGCTTTACATTAATCAACGATGCACCCACATTCAGTGTATAGGCGCTGCTGCTTGCCAGGGGAGACTATTTCACCAGGGGCTGAGTTCTTCCAGCTGCTCAACCCCACCTCCTGGCTGGTGCTTCTGTGTTATATTATATTGTGATTTTTAGATTATTGTTTATTTTTTGTTTTTTTTCTGTAAGGCATTTTGAGGCTCGCTTTGCAGGAGAAAAGTGGGATAAAAATATCCAAATAAAGAAATAAATAGTTTTGAAAGACCCTCCCCACATCTGAAGGAGAGAGGCTGCACTGGAGAAGGGACAAAAATAGGAAACTAAATCTGATTACCAACTGTCACTGCAAACCCAGCTAATAGTCTTGTGGAGCTTTCAAGATGAACAGGTTTACTGTGGCATAAATTCCCACAGACTCGTGGCTGCACGATGCCAGCTGATAAACTGAACCTGGAGTTCATGAAAGTTTATACCACAATAAATCTGTCTTCAAGGAGCTGCAAGAGCATTTGCTGTTTTATGACGACCAGAGAATTAGCACCTTCGGCTGCGAGGAAGAGCTAACAAAGTCAGGGCTTTTTAGTTGAGAAATGGGATGACAAACAAAATGCAATAAAGTGTTATCAAATTAACAGCTTTTATTTTATGGTGGCTGGTTTTCTTCACACTGAATAATGCTTTTTGGTGTGTGTGTTTTAAAAGCTATATTGGCTTAGCTTGTGGTGAGCCCCTCTGTGAGTCCATAACAGGTCAAAGAATAGGGCAGGGTTGCATCTAATGGATCCTTTCTGCTAATGGCAGCACTGGGGGAAAGTGCCACTGTTTGGGGCACGATATTCTGTGACAGTTATGCAGATGGAAGACTGAGCTGGCATCCCAGAGACTGGCAGACTCAGAAAGATAGATAGAGAGGGTCATTTACAACTCAATGGGGAAATATGCCATAATGTATTAACACCTCTTGATTGGAGGGACCATGTGGGGAGGGGAAGGGAAAGGAGTTTGTAAGCCGCTCTGAGACACCTTTGGGTAGTGAAGGGCGGGGTATAAATCCAATCTCCTCCTCCTCCTCCTTCTGTCAGGCCTGAGCCCAGGGACCTGGCACCCAGGTTGGCTAATGCCACATGAGCCCATGTGAGCGGGGTTCTGAAAAATGGAGCTGTTCCTTTGTATGGCATGGCTGATGGTTGTGATGAGACATGAGTGACGCAGGAAGATGCACTAATACAGTTGTTAAAACTATAGAGCCTTTCACATTTCCTTATCCCACTGCCTTGGCAACTCAATAGCACAATGATAAGACTCCCCTTTGGTGTCGTTTCCCTTGGTGGCATCAAGTTAGGGAGGTATATTTTCAGATCCGGGGGTGGAATGCTGCCAGAAATAAGAGAGGGCAAAAGGCAACTTTCTGCTCCCAGCTTCCTAATAGGGTGGAATGCCACAGACAGAAGTCTGGGGGACAAACTGACCTTTCCCGTATGGGGTGGAAGCACCATTCCGTTACAGCCACCATTAACAGAATGGACCTGCAGGATCCAACCCATTGTATTCAATTAATGAAATGAGATTACATGCTGGTAACTTTGTGAATTCTTGTATACATATGTATATATTTACATATATCCAGTGATGCTAACAGGGAGCAACTTCTGGAAAGATAAAAGGAAAGCACTTCTTCAGAAAATGGAATTCACTACCACAAGATGTAGTGAATACTACTGGTTTAAAGAGCTTTAAAAGTGACAAGACAAATTTAAAGGAAAGAGACCTTGTTGTTAGCAATGAGCTGAATGGAACCTACATGTTTTGAGGCACTGTATCAGCTGCTGGAGTCATCTACCATGGGGAGATGCTACTTTTTCCCTACTTGGCTCATGAGTTTTCTAAAAGCATATAATTGGCTACATCAAGTCATCTACTAAAACTTGACTCAGATGACTTCTGGATTAATCTGGCAAGGCAATTCTTATGCCAAATTATTCACTCCTTACCATGCAGGCGTTTCTCTCTGCTTTGCTTCCTCCACAAGCTTATCCAGTGATTTAAAAAGTGCCTCAAGATTCCCTTCATTCTTCAAGTCACTGATCTCCTCCTGAATCAGGAAGAGAAAGACATACACTGCTGCCATCACTACAGCATATGTGAGTCCCTGTTGCTAAGTTTGTACGGGAGTGTGTGCATGAGGAGCTCACTTCTCCCCAAGTTGTCACTGTTATCTACCGTTCAGCCAACTACGCTGTACTGCAAATTGTTATACACACTTTCAAAGCGAGGTTGGAAATAATGTTCACGAAATGTGGCAGTTCAAAGGGGACCAAGAAGTTTACACTGTCCTTAAATTAAACTCTCTTTTTTTAAGTAGAGGAATTTCCCAAATATTATATTCATAGGCATTATTGGAGCACAACAGAAGAAAGTCATTACAGTAAGCAGAAAATAACATTCTCCAAAGTATACCCTATTTTTGATGCAGGAGCAAAATGGTTAAAGGTTTGCACAAGTCCGCAGAAACCCAAGTAGGTCCAATGAGAACTCTTTGTTGTTGTTTCTATTGCTACCGTGATGTTTTCTAGACTTCTACAAAGCTACTGATAAAGCTATTTTAGATGCAAAAAGAAAGATGCCCACCTCCTTTAGGCACATCCAACCTGGAAGAGCTATGGCACAGTTCAAACATCACACTAAACTATGTCTAAGGCAGTATAACTAAGGCTTGGCATCATTTTCTGAATTGAGATCAGCTGGCAAAGCAGGATCAGAATCTATTTTAAGTGAGTTTTTGCACACCACGATTTGTGTCAGTTATAAACTGGCATAATGTGTACATTGCAAAAACCTTATTACAGCTGTTTCTCTCTCCCAAGACAGGTCCATGCGCCACAGAGATGGCATCTTGAGCCAGCAGAAAAATGAAAGGAGACAAACACCTTGAAGTCATGATTTGTCTGGTGTATGTTTGAAAGCAAAACCTGGAGTTCAGACTCCAAACAATGGTTAGTGCTAACCATGGCTTGGTGTGATTTCTGAATTGAGCCTGTGTGCTGTCTGATGTAATTTTTAAAGAGCAAACATGTGATTATCTTAAGAGCTTCAAAATTAACACATAAGAGAAATTACTACAACAAAGCCATATACCAAAGTTTACAGATGTCTTAAGATTCCTCAACTTTGTACAGGCTTTTCAATAGGCAAAATGATTGGGAGGCATCCAACCACTACTCAAATAAAACTTTTTGTTTTTGCTTTTTGTAAATCTTTGCCCACTTAAAAAAAAAAGTCAGTTGAACTGACAAATATTTTTAAAGTTTTTTGTTTGTTTTTCAGGCCTACCCGAAAGGAAGTCTGCAGATGGTAAATATACTGATCATAAATACATTTTGTGAGCTCAGGCTGCACTTTGTAGAGACGGTTATAGCAGCTTGCAAACTCTTGATAGCTGTTGGCAAAGAAAGAAAGTACAGGTTATTTCTAACACACAAAGTTCTAATATGGAAAAAATCTCCACAACGCCAGACCCATCTGCTATCCATTCTAGAAAACCTCAGAGTCCCTATCCTTTTAAATTATAGGATTCTGATGTAATGCATGAAAGACCATCATCTCTTCCCCGGTCAATGCCAAACATGATAAACAGGATTCCCTCAGTCAGAAGTAGGACACATTGTTAAAGAAGAGACTGTACACTGCAAAAACAAGCATATTCTGAACCACCAAGAAATCACCATGGAACCCACAAGGACATAAACTGGCAAACTGCGTTAGGGACCAAAGCCAAGAGAGAACGCAATTCTGTACCGCACATAGCACAATATATGAAATTCACTAACACAGGATATAATGAGGGCAGCAATCTTATTTAATTTGTATCCCCCCCCCCCCCCCCCCCCCCGATGGAGAATAGATCCACTAATGGCTTTCAGTCATTATAACTTAAAGAGATCATCAAAGAACTTATCTCTGTATACCAGGTGCCAGGGTGGGAGGAACAGCAGGGGGAGGCTTCCTTTTCAACCTCAGAAGAAGAAGAGTTGGTTTTTATACTCTGGTTTCCACTATACAAAGGAGTCTCAGAGCATCCTCCCTTCCACTCCCCACAACAGACACCCTGTGATGTAGGCGGGGCTGAGAGAGCTATGAGAGAACTGTGACTGACCCAAGGTCTCCCAGCTGGATTCATGGGGAGGCAGGGTTGCCAGCCCCCAAGTCCCAGCAGGGGTTCCCCCGCATTTGGCCAGTGGGGGAAACCCCACCCCCAAACAGGGCCACCATCGAGCGACGTCCGCAATGCGATGCTGTCACCCAGAAGTGATGTCATCGCGTCAGTGACGCTCTGGTTTTTAACAAACAAATGTTTTGAAGCCAAAAAACCATAGAGTTTTTGCCCCTAAACCACAGCATCACATGCAACATCACTGATGTGATGACACCACCTCTGGGTGATGTCATTGTGTCGGGGATGTTGCACACGACATCCTGCCCACCCCTGGAACGCTCCCCAAATCCCTCTGCTACAACAGCGAGGGGACCTGGCAACCCTATGTGGAGGAGTGGGGAATCAAACCTGGTTCTCCAGATTAGAGTCTGCTGCTCTTAACCACTACACCACATTGGCTCTCCATTTGGGTGTATTTAGGTGGCCCACAACAGGAAACAGGATGCTGACCAAGATGGGCATTCTGTCTCCCCAAGCAGGGGCTCTTCTTGTTTTTCTTAATTATTTATTTTATTATTTGTATTTACAGCCCACCCATCCTGCAAGCGGGCTCAGGGCAGGTAACATCACGTCAATAATACAAGGAATAGTTAAAATTTAAAACACAGTAAAAACATTTAAAAACAAAAGTTACAGTTCAAACAAGTCAACCGGCTGTGATAGGTTCCCTGGCATATACTTTGGGTGGATAGATGGGTGACAGCAACACTGCAGACGAATGGACAGTTCTGCAGAATTCAGTCCTACTGTGCAAAGCAGGGTTTACTCTTAAGTAAATGAGGACTGCATCCTTGACCTAGTAACCACATGTTTGCTATTCCCAGTCCCTGTTGCACAGAACTCTACACCCCTGCAGGACTTTAAAAGTAATATAAACAATAGACACAGAAGGCTGCTTGTACAAGGTAGGTGATTGGCCCTCAAGGGCTCCACGTAGAAGTAATTCCAGAGTGATAACTGTGTTAGTCTCTAGAAGCAGGACAGAACAAGAGTTCAGGGTCACCTTGGACAGAGTCTTCATGAGTCAGTGCTCAGCTTATGACAGAACAAATTTTGTCATTCTCCACTGGGCTCCTTTTTTATTATTAAGAGAGAAGTCAACATAAAAATCCCATAAAGGGAACAAATAATAAAAATCAACAAAGGAATGAGGCAACTCCACCAGGAAACTACTCCTGATGAGATGATAGCATCCCTGGAGGCAACCTGCTATTCCTGAGGGTGGGTGCCTCCATAGGTGAGTGAGCAGGTTCATATGGGATATGTTATTTCCCTTATCCTATTTAATCCAGACTGAATTTATGCCGGCATTCCACATGAAAGTGAGCCAATCATATTAAACTTCCTGAGAATATCAGTAGAAAAGAGAAAGAGTCCAATAGCACCTTAAAGACTAACAAAATATGTGGCAGGAGATGCACCTTCATAACTGCTTACTTCTTCAGCTATTTCAGTGACTCACAAAAGCCACATATTTTGTCAGTCTTTAAGGTGTTTGTAATGTAGCCAGTCTGACCGCGTGGGCGGTCTGGGCTCCACGCGGTCAAGCGCTAACGTCGAGCTTTGCTCCACATAACAAAGGACTAAGCGGATCCTGATGACCCGGCTGGACTGCCTGCACGAGGCGGCCCAGGGATTCTTTCCTGAGGAACCCGTATACGCCAGGAACTTCACATGGGGGCCCCACCTGGATTCCGGCTCGAGTAGTGAGGATCAAGGGGCCCAGATCTTACGAAGTTTCCTGTGAGGACGGGCAGATCCTACACCGGCATATTGACCAGTTGCTCCGCCGGACACTGCTGCTCCCAAGGACTTTGACACCCCGGACGCCCCGGAGACCACAGCACCACCACAACTCCGCCCCCCCCGCCAGCCGCCCGCCACAGAACCGGTGCACTTCCCCTCGGGCGCACTCGAGGGCACCCTCCCTGCTGCACAGGGAACACCGGCACCGGGACCCAGGGCGCCACCCCCGGCCAGCACTCTGCAGAGTGCATCAGGGGTGGAGACAGTGCCAACCCCCGAGCTACTCGTACCAGGAAAGCACCGGCACATTTAAAGGACTTTATCTGTGGTTGTGTTCTGGACCAAGGGGGGAGGGGTGTAATGTATCCAGTCTGACCGCGTGGCTGGCTTGGGCTCCACGCAGTTAAGCACTAATGTCGAGCATCGCTCCACATAACAAAGGACTAAGCGGATCCTAGCCCACACCTATCAGAGGGCTAGGTTCCCGGACGAACTCTCGGCCACTGTAAATACCTATTGGGATGTGGGGTGTGTGTGTTCTGGGTGGTGGTTTCACAGGGGATATAAGCCGGCCTGCGAGCCGGCTAAAGTTGTCTTCTTCTTCACTAATAAAGTATGCTTGCTGAAATCACTGGACTATCTGCATACTTTTCAGTGTTACTGTACACTTGCTCTTTTCTACTGCTTCAGACAGACTAACACGGCTACCCATCTTGGTCATCTCCTGAGAATAACAGATGGCCATTAAAAAAAAAAAAAGTTTCTAGACTTTACTGCTGTAACAATTTACTTCCTTAAAAAAAAAAAAGCCCCAACTAAAGACAAGTTTGGCAAGTCCCGCGTAATTTCTCCCTCAGGTCCCCCGAAGCTTCCACCTCACGGCTCCACTGGGCGCCCAAATTTGGGCGAAACACTTCCACTCAGTCCCGCCGTCGCTCTTACCTGCCGGCTTCCTCCATCTTTTCTAAGAAAGTATTAACAATGAGGTCGAAAAGCTGCTCTCGGCTGGGCTCCTCCTCAGTTACCGACGGGGGAAGCGCGGCAATGCCACCATCCTCCTCTTTCGTTTCAACCGGCTTCACGTCTTCACGACCCTCCGCCGCCATTTTGAACCGCCAAAGTTGTACTCAAACTCGTAGTAGCTCCGCCCACCGCTTTCTACCATTGAAAGCTCGTGCCCCCCAAGAACTTTGCTTTGCTTTCACTTCATTGGATGCGACGCTCTAGCATGGTGTCCAATGAAAAGCGTCCGATCTGTGCCTTACATTTGGATGCTGTTCCTGGATGTATTGTGGGCAGCGCTTTGCGGGATCAGAACGTGCTTCGCGACATGCATAATCCGTTGTAAAATGTTACATCCCGTTTTTCATTCTTCAAAGCGGCACGAAGCAAAAAGTAAAAATGATACATTCAAAACTTAAAACACAAGGGGTGAATTAAAACTTGTAAAAAACATATCGACAGGCAAAGCAGTAACAAAATCAAATAAATCATTAAGAGTTCCTGGAAAACAACGTTTACGCTGCGCCCCCGCCGGCTGCAGCGTGGTGTGTGGAGAGGACAACTCGCGCGGCAACAAGACCTATGGCTCCGTCACGAAACCAGAGTTATGCTCGTTTCAGATTTTTAAAATTTTAATCTGTCATTTAAGATAATTTATCAGAGCCTCCTCCAGTGAATCAGCACAGGTGCGCAATTCACTGTACTCTCTTCCTCCATTCACGCGGGGCTCTGGCAAGTTTTATTAAATCAGTCCTGCAAATACTATCTGGAGATACTTTCCTAGCTCTCACTTCTCTAAAACCCTTGTTCTTAAATGCAGAAGGGATGGGGGTGGTTATAGAATTTAGAGGATAGCTTACATTTTTAAAAAGCAAGTTCATTTGTTTGGTGTAGTGTTTACAGCTAAGAGAACAAGTTGCAATCTGGGACATGCTCAGTTCAGACTCACTGGTTGATCTTAAACAAGCCACTTGCTGCTTCAGCTGCTAACTGCATTGGAGATATTGACCAACCTTCTTCATCTGGAACTATTATGCAAGTGCTAAATTTCTAACACTTTGGGGTGAGAATATAGATATGGAAGTGCGCAGGCAATTACAGTATCTGTCACAATGGCTGGGACACGGCAGAGGATTCTAGGATGCACTTTCAGTTTGCACAGGGGTAGCTGTCAGACCCATTTGATTTCACTGCTGCCTCAAAAAGCCTACAGGGTGACCTTGGGCCAGTCACTCTGAGTCTTAACAAGCCTTGAATTTCATTAATGGAAGAAAGACAGGAAAAAAAATTAAAAACCATTTATCTCAGGGGACTGTTGTGATGATAGTAGCCATTATCTGCCTGTGTTTTGGGGAATATATAAAGGTTTAAAGGTTTCCCTTGCTTGAAAGCCAGTCAAATCCGACTCTAGGGGGCGGTGCTCATCTCCGTTTCCAATCCGAAGAACCAGCACTGTCCGAAGACGTTTTTGTGGCCATGTGGCCAGCGTGAGGCACACGGAATGCTGTTATCTTCCCACTGAAGCGGTACCTATTTATCTACTTGCAATTTCTTGCTTTCAAACTGCTAGGTTGGCAGGAGCTGGGGCCGGAGACGGGAGCTCACCCTGCCACACGGCACTAGGGTCTCAAACTGCCAAACTACAGACCTTCCAGTCTGCAGCTCAGCGTGTAAGCCTCTGAGCCACTACAGGCTATCAAATCAATCAATCAAAGAGGGGTGGCACCTACAAGGGAGGGTGGGATGAGAGCCACCGTGGTGCAGCGGTTAAGAGCTGGGAGAGCCAGGTTTGAATCTCTGTTCTGCCAAGGAAGCTTGCCAGGTGACCTTGGGCCAGTGACACACTCCAAGTCTAGCCTTCCTCACAGGATTGTTGTGAGGAGAAAATAGAGAAAACGAGAACTACGTGAGCTGCTTTCAGTCCCCACTGGGGAGAAAGGTGGGGTATACATGAAGTAAACATATAGATGTTTTGACAAATCAAGCTGAGTGTCCCCCAAGTGCCGACACAGGACAATGGCTGGTGTGGGGATGGGCTGCCTTTCAGAAAACTTCTCTGCTCTTTGTCATCTTCTCCCTGAGAAACTTCCAAAGAATCTCCCCAGGAACACAATCCAAAGCCGATCTAACAGCACAATCCCAAGGCACATCTACTCAGAAGTCAGTTCCCACTGTGTTCCATGGGGCTTACTCCAAATGTAGGACAAGGGAAAAATGAATGTGATTTCTGACATTTCCTCTGACATGTTTATATATTGACAGCTGTCACTGTGCCTTCAAAAGTTTAATTATAATAGATACAGATCTTGGTATGTAACCTAGAATCTTCTGATTAGAGGAGCTTATAGTAGAATATATTTTATAACTGTACTTTTTGTGTGTATATGTTAAGGAAAAGCATTATTAGAGGCCTCTGGAGATAGAATTAGATAAGCAAATGTAATTACCGACACCACTCAGAGATGCACTGAGTCAAATTATGCTTGTGTAACGTTAACTACTTGGTACCAATTAGAGATTCTTTAATGTGTAAACTATATGTGATGTCATTTGGGGTATAAGACCTTCTGCCATTCCTGGTTAGGGCAGAATAGAGTTTTGGAATTGCTGAGTGCAAAGGCACTCAGCCCTGTATTTCCTGTTTCAATGCATTAAACAGATATTCATCTAACTAGTTGGACTGTGTGTTTCCAATTTGGCATGGGAGCATGCAGGTACAGATTTGTGTATCGTCACAAAGAAGTCTTAAGACAGCAGCCGCAGGGTGTCACAGTTAAACCCGCAGGGCCCAAAGCTCAGCAGAAGCCCTCTGCCGCCCATTCCCCCACTGTGTGAAAGAAAACCAACCAGGAAAAGGGTCAAGTAAATAAATAATAAAAACTTTAATTACACTTCAGAGACGCCTTACAGTGCAAAATTGAAACCTCTTTCCCCCCCAATGTACACAAATACATTCAAACTCCGTTATCGAAACAGCAGGCACCAAGTAGCATAGATGGTGTGGAACTCACTCCCGTTTATCGACAGACCTGGGTGGGCAAAAATTCTCTGTTTGCTGTGTATCTTGGGAGGGCGACTTTACTCACTCAACCTTCCACCCCCGTGCTTGGAACACTTTTAAGGTAAATCGAGTCACAATAAGTTTCCCGAGATCAGTCTGACGGAGCTCCTTGAGCATTCTCTGTGTACCAGCGCTTGGAAGCAAAAAAATAAAAATAAAATCAATTCAATTCAGAGCCCGTCACTGTGCACTTGTCAAGTTGGGTTAGAGGAAGAATGGAATGAAATTTCAGCCCCGTTACAGTGATCATGAGTGGGGTTCCTTTTCGACCATGGGGCTGAAGATGACATAAAAGAAATCTTACCGGGAAGACAAAAGACACCACAGGTATGAATTACTCATCACTTCACTGGCATGAGGGGGATCAGCTACCCTAAACTATTTACCCACTGGAACAGCTACATGAGTTCTCACAAGAACTGGTGTATCCTATAAATGGACAGCAGTAATATACCTTTGCGGTGCTTTCACTACAGCTTTCCATGGGCAGGCGCATACCTTTAAGTGCTGTTACGGTGCCCTCCTAAACAGAGTTACACCCCTCCACCTCCCACTGGTTTCAATGGACCTAGATGGGTGTATCTCATCTTAGGACTGCACTGTTCAAAGTTTATTTGTCCCATTACTGTGAAAGCAAAAGCTACCAACACAAGTCACCATCCGGGTTTTCTCCAGTGAAAGCCTCCAAAAATGGGAACCCCCCGCCCCGGCCCTACACAAAAATAAAAATTAGAAATTTATGGAATTGAACAATAATGCAGGGAAAGTGGTCGAGCCCCGGAAGCGTGTGCTTCGGGGAGAAGCACAGTGTAACCGCTCCTTTTAGCAAAGAAGAGAAACAAGGCAAAGCAAGACACCGGACAAAAAAATCAAAATTAAGCTGTGTGCCGGGATACTCCAGATTGATTCCAGGCGCAAAAAGACTCCTCGATTTTGTTCAGACACAGGACTGATCCTGCTCACCACGTTATCTGCCAAATCTGGAGCAACCCTACAGCATATGGAGTGAGGTGACAGATGTAAACTCCCCATGTGTCTACTGTTAAATCTAAGGGGCTGGAAAAGACCTTAATTCCCCCTCAATGCAAAGAAACTGCCCTCCGTCTAAAGAGCTACCATGACTGGGGGAGAAAGGTAGGCCAGCCCCTCTCCCCTGCCACACATTCCCTGTG